ATAGACTTTTTTGCCGTATGAGCATGCGTTGCCCAAGGTGCACCATGTCGAGGTAAGTCTATTGCACACTTTTGAAAAACAGTCGCTACTCCAATGTGCTCACTAATCAACAGCAAAAGGGGTGCAACTTGACGCTCATCTGTATTCACATATATTGCGCTATTAAAGCTAGGAGTTCTTCAAAGTATAACTTCAGTCTGCTCTGACTATTTAAGAAACTTAATTCCTCCATTTTATTGTGTTCAAGCTACGTTGCAAGATAAGTTTTAGTACAGGCATGCGTTGATAATAATTATTATTGCATGCATTATTTTACTGTAAGCGGGGTGTGCGATAGACTTACCTTCACGTGGTGCACCCTATGCAGCATATACTCACAAATTTATAAACCGACAGTTGACTTCTCACTTCAAACTGCCTTGACCCCACTGTATGCAATATTACATCACTTACACGGTACTCACCTCATCTTTTCTCAACCTTCGTGTCCGTCCCTTTTACACCTGTGAATCCCTCTTCTGTTCCCCCTCTCGAATTTTTGTGACTATCATGTTCCTCCACTCTGTGAAGCCCAATGTCATCTAAAAAGCTGATGATAACCACTATAAAGTCTACCATCTAATTTGAATTTGCTTACAAACAAACTAAAAGGTAACTAATTAAAAGATATATTAAGTGCTTATAAAATATTTGGCCATCTTTATCAAATCGGATATATTTTTTTCTCTAAGTCACAATTTTCTCGAATAAATTATTCAAGTGATTCATCCCATGGATAATGATGAGTATTTTCAAAATTGTAGTGAGCTATCATTTCCACCCTGTTTATCTCGATTTTTAATTTATTTCCTTAATGGAAATTATACCTGCCCATGGGTGGGTTTATGCTCTGTTTTAATGAAGGAAGTCCTTTAAAATTAAATATCTACTAGAAGAATCTATAAAGCCCTTAAGAAATATCTTTAAATCATAATGGAGTTATTTAAACGTAGTTGTGTTCTAAAAGATACCGAAATGCAAATACCCGATCACATTTATAAGTGGTAATTTGAAATTTTACCAGATATCCTCACAAAATTAAATTATACATTCTTTTTTAAAAATAAGAGTACGCTTTTGGTCTTTGTTCGAATCCATTATTCTCTTTGAATAATTAAATGTCTGCAGGTGTTTGCCAATTGGTGGTGGGAATAAACAATAAATATGGAATAAATGTGTTAGGACCTTATTTCCTCAATGATTGAACCACCAAATGTGCGACCAAAACCATTTGCTTGATTAAAGACGGGTTAGCAAACCACACACCGAGTGGACTGGGAATGAGTGCGGTCGTTTAGTTCAGTTTAATCCATTTATTCCAGTGGAAAAATTGTTGTCCGTGTGAATACAATACAATTACTAAATAAAATATGCAGGCATTAACGGTTCTGCTAAATTGATTCTATTCAAAGTATCCGCTTTTTACCGAGTCAAAGCACCAAGTATATTTTTAAGTGAAAATAGAAAACATAATTAGTAATTGCGAGCGATCATTTAGCCACTTAAAATATTTAAATTCTGCGTCATGCTTTACCTCGCGTTAAAGCAGCACCTTCGTTTCAACTATAAGGGGCTCTAACAAGTTACCGGAATCACTGATGTCAGATTTATAGCGTATTGAGGCTTAAAGAAAAGGGAAATTTAATAAGATATTTTCGCCAATTAACTTTTAAATATAAGCCAAATATTCAGGTCAAAAAGTTCTAAATGGAAGTTGAATGTCACTAGGCAAGATCATTTAACTTCCTAAATCCATTGGAAAAAAGCCGTTATTTGAATGACATTCATGATTCCACTACACCACTTTTCCACATGTGTATTAATATATATATATATATTAATATATAGTCAAGAAGCTTCTTTTACAAATTTAAACTTTGTTAACAATAAAACTGAAGTAAAAGCATTGATAGATAAACGTCACTGATTCTTCCACCTGTAATCACAGAATAAGGTATTTAGATAGCAACCGTTTTGTCAAATTAGAGGTGATAAGGGGAAAGAGGGACGAACTCTTATCGCAAGAACTTTTCTCCTGTTATTTTAGGCCTATACACTGCTGCCTTACTATTCATTTCCATAAATAGTGAATTTTCTGCTCTGAAGGGGTCGGTTAAAGCACTATTTTCAGAGTGGCTAAAGGGCTTTTATAAATAAACTCATATAATCAGAATATTAAACAAATTAAAGGCTTTTATAAAAAAAGATGATGAACTTTTTTGCCACTCTGTATGGTTAAATTTTTAATTCCTTCAACGCTATTGAGGAAAATACTCACCACAGAACTACCGCAGTGTCTGATAGGACCTGTCAAGTGATTTCAAGTTGTAAATGAAAACATTTGCAGTATCTATTTGAGTTTCGTGGAAGGGCATGAATATTTCAAGAGATTTCAATAAAGAACAGGGAAATTTAGGTTAAAGTGAATTAAGAGCGATTTGGCAACGATCTATTATATTACTTCCATCATGAAAGTGATGGTGCTTTTATAGATGCTTATTAAGCAAGGATTTCTTCGATTACATTTACTTAACAGACCGATTTAGACAACATACTCACTATATCAAAAAGTTTATTCAACACTCAGTATCTGTAATTAGGAAAGAGCAGCTTTAAACTTATACGAATATATACTCCGTAACCATTTTTCTCAAATGATCCATTCATTTATTCTTACCCACCTAAGTATATAATAATCCCTACTTTCGTTTTCACTGTCCTTATTGATTTCATTCCCATCATCTTCATGAAACCGTTTAGATGATTTTTAATATCTACCTTAACTACTAATAGCCTTAAGATGATTAATTGAATGTAAAAAAACCAAAATGACTTACCGTTTTCTTCTAACTTTCGAATTTTCCCACTTCATGCATATTCTCCAACGGCTATAATTTAACACAAATTTATTGTGCACACAAAAATATTGTATGCTCCGTTTTGGAGAAGCAAATGCGTGAAGTTGTATTTAATTCGCGGGACGGAAAACATGTCAAGTGCAAATTAAAGACAGATTTATGTCGGTCCCCACAATTGGCTGAGAGTTATAAAAGTCTTTATTTACAGCACTTACAGTAATGGCAAGTATAATGTGAAAATGGAATTAGAATACCAAGTGCAGTACCACTCATTAATCTTGCTGACTTAATGCTAGGTCCAGGATGACTCAGGAGGTGTTTTTATTGGCAACTGTAATTAGTATGTCGAACTTTCTTGAACATTTTGTATTTATGTGATATATCATGCTTTATGTAATGTCGTTTTGTGTTACGGTCCATGTTAAGTTAGAACTATAACTGCCGATCTCGTCTAGAAATGCCTTTTCCAAAAATCAACCCGGGGAGTGAGCGGCAGTGTGGAACCTCCTTGGTAATAATTATTTTTTTTAAATGCACCCAACGGTACTCACGCGTGTCTTACAGTAGACGGATGTCGCCGACGTGATGACTTTTGATGGTAAAAAGCGAAGGCTATAGACGTATTGAACATGCTTCAAATGGCTATAGTGACTTCTGTTACGAGTCTAGTAGCAATACAGCTTTAATTGAAATAGACCCGTACGGTGCTTGGGGGAGTTAAAGGTTTTAATAGGTCACAATTAGTCCATTTGGTTTATTATTTCGTCAACTGAATGGGCTCCTTCGACTTCCCAAATGCTCATGCAGGTATAAACGACCTCGACGTACAATCCAGCCTAGCCATTTAACGCCCTAATCATATCCTCAATAATCAATGTCTGTGCAAATTTACTGGTAATTCCAATTCCAGCCCTCATAGCTAACTATGCTTATCATATATAATTTGATTTTTTATAAGGCGGATCGTGCATATTCTAGATAACATACTCATAACACGCATCGCTATATCTATACCATCAACTATTTTTAATAAATGTTAAACCATATAACACAAATCTCCCGAGAAGAGAGTTCTTTGTCCTATCATAATTCAAGATAGCGTGCTCCTTAATTCTGTCTCAATTGAGTATCATGTATGGTAAAAGTACTTTTTACTGATGAAATAAATAACAAATTTCCTCGATAATCTACGTCATGTGTAAATTCACAACTGTGAATTATGTAATTCAAGCTTTCAAACCCACTTCTGACAACTGTCTTTGGAAACTGGGCTACTTGATCCCGCAAAGTGCAAGTGTGGTTTGTTTGCTAGCAATGTGTTCTGCGATGGGCACACGCAAATTTTAAAAAATCACAAGTTTTCCGTCTGGCTTGCTCATCCTTCCTTCATCACCTTCATTCTTCACTAAATAAGTCTTCTGAAGTTTGAGTTAGTTGCTTAGAACTGATTACGACACATATTTGTGGCACCCAATACATCTGTAGCTGTAGCGATGGAAATGACATCGCCATTCAATCTACGCTTTTTCGTAAAGTGCGCACTTTTAACTACGAAATCGGACATCCAATACGATTGCACTTGAGAGCCAACTATTAAACTAAGTTTCAATAATAAGATAGGCACTTAAATTGTTAAATGCAAGACAACTCAGACAATTGGAGCTCAGCAGATTTTCGTCTCGCCATAGCTTATAATTTAATGCTTAGCTACACATTTAAACCATTGCTCCAACCAACGATAGGGAAACAAAACAAGTTAATCTCAAAGGAAAACAGTGCCTTTATTTACGAAATCATTACAAGGTATAAGATATGGGAATAGGTGAAGTGAAATACATTGTAAACTATGATGGCAGTGTCGGTTTCATTCGCCATTGATGGCAGTGGTGGTGGTAAAGTAAAAGCAGTTAAATGCGTCGGAAGGTAAAAGACAGGCAAACTTCCTATAAACTGTACAAATAAAATATTGCACACGCCAATAGTATATATATATGTATATATATATGTATATATATATATATATATATATATATATATAGCATAGGAGCCATCACAGTCATTGATTCGGCGGAAGTAAAACAAATTTTGCGGGGGAAGGTAAAATTATTGTGGGGGAACTCCTATTTGATAGAAATGAATAGCTCGACAACCAGGCCATTCATTTCTCATACAACGAAATGGGAAGTACCGTTCTATGTCATTGCATACATAAAGGAGTGTGACAAAAACGAAGAGAGCAAAGAAAGCAAATTGAATTTGGGTAATAAAACGGATACGGCTGTGACCGCCTCTTTTATTGAACAGCGAATGATTCGATTGATTGGATTCTGCAGCCGCTTTTGCTTCATTCAGAAACTGAAACAAAAAAAAAACAAACAATTATATGCTTTGAAATAAGGCGTATTTGACCACAGGTTTAAGGTGAAAACTTACAGTATTTGTTTCAGCTTCCGGAGATATTTGTAACCGTTCGTTAAGGGATTCCAAGTATGAGAAACTAAAATAGAAAAATTTCATTTCAGTAACTCATTCGCTTATAGAAATTTATATAGCACTTATACTAATTTTAAGTGGCATATAGTTCTGCAGTAAAACAAGCTTATCTGAAACCTAATATCTTAAGTGTGTGAAATATAATGAGACAGACAAATAAATGAAATAAAACTATTTACAACTCATTTACTCACAAACGAACCACGTTAACTTTGGGATATGCAATTAACTGGACACATTGTTTTACTCAATGAACTTGGAACTTATTTAAATAATAAAACAATAAGTAATGATATATAAACCATAGCATCCAATTGTAAGTCAAGTATAATTAGTAAATTACAACATAAATGAAATGAGAAATTTTTTCAATAAATTCTAATTATTCTCCTAGAGATTGATGATCCAGTATAAATGCCATTATAACTACATTCAGTACTAATAAATTAGAAAAAAACGGTATTTAAATTTATTTTCTCCCAAGAATAGTGTATGGCGTACTTCGTTAACGAAAAAATGAAGAAAGCTATGCTAAATTACCTGTAAAAGAACTTTCATGGAATTGAAAAACCGCTTGATTAATTATAAATCAATTAATGTGTATCGGCGTCCAATCTATGGGAATAGTGAATTCCGTCCGAGCAATAACGGTGAATCGAATTCGAGAAGTTGTATTGATTTTCGACTGTTGCCAAATTTTGAGATGTAATAATAGGCCCAATAGCGTTTAACCCGGATATAAAATTTTTTCACTAATTACACCATCACAAGTATGACTATAAACAAGTATGTTCTTGAATCGTTGATAGCTTAATACAAAGACGAGAAACACAACTGAAAATTCATATTCTGTGACTAAATTAAAAGTTAGAAGACAAGCATCTATAAGAAAGACAGAAAACAAAGGCAAATTTTTCAAAAAAAACACAATGATTTAAATTAGAGGGTATTGTTGTCACACAAAAAGTCAGATGAACAAAGCTACTTTGTATCATGCACGCATTCTAATCAAGTAACAATTGCAAAAAGAGTTAAATTCCACTCAAGCGACTGCAACTAAAGCGGCATGAAAAATATTGAAGGTTATAAAAATCTGTGGACAGAAATTGTTTCTCTAATACCTGACCTTTCGATAACTATTCTCCCAACTCCATGATATCGATGCGAGCAACCTCATTCATAAGTATACCTTACAGGGAACTTAGCAATATATATTGCAGTGGTGGACTTTGTTTTATACGTGGTTACGTTATGTTACATTATGAAGTCTTGAATAGACTGAATTCCTCACGAACGAAGTCTCATTAACTGCGGTGGTTTCCCTCAAAACTCATTTCTTAGACGGCTAACGTGCTGTTTGTAGGTAGGTTTAAACTTACTTCCAGGTCAATTATCTCAGGCTTCATTACTTACCTGGGCTAAGAAAAGGTAGAATTAAAAGATGTCTTGTAATGGATAAGGAATTCTTTTCCTCTCTCTCACTCTCTCTGATTCTACAATGTGCACGTGTAGGAAAGCTTTATCAAGATAAAGAGTGGAGAGTTGACTTCTTCTCCTCGACAAATCCAGTGAAAAACTAGATTGCTAGTGTATTTTCTTCATTTCTGCAAGATGCTGACTAAGGAAATATTTAAAGTTATAATTCAGGGGCAATTGCTGTGAATCAATAAATACTGAATGATGTTAACGGAAAATTCAATTAAAGCTTCCAATTTAGTGCAGAAATATTAAAATTTCAAAATTAAGACCATTGAAATTTTTAGTACAAAGGTAAATTTAAGCATGCCTTGCACTTTCCCTTCCTTACAACTGTTTCACTTACATCGTACCTAAACGAGACGGTATCTCTGACTTAATATATGCCTGTATGTATACACATATATAAAGCAAAGTAGATAGGTGAAACACTTTTGGTGTGCTTTAGAGTTTACACTTTTGAAACAGTTGTGCCGTTCGCTTTCAATTCTCTCTCTCCCTCTTTCTCTCAATAACAGAAGTTGAAAAGACCTTCTTCTATAACAAAAGGGAATGAAAGGAAGGAGGAGGAGGAGAAGAGAAAAAGGTAAATCTACAGTTGCAGACACTTCAGAAACAGAGATCGGCGAGCAATTGTTTCCAAACAAAGGGAGAAAAAATAACGCAGTACATTCTGAGGCGAATAGAATTCCGCCTTTCGGTTATTTGGCTCATCCCTCGACAAAACTAAAACAGTTTACCAACCATCCAAACTGAACTCAGGTAAATATCACCATAAATAGGATTCATTAACATTTTTCATATGATACAGTAAACTCTTCAAATAAATAAATGTGTCGATAGGTTTAAAAGCGAGGAATAAGTCATATAAACTTACGTAGATTTCAATGCCTTTGTCCGATCAGTAAGAGATCGAATATCTTGCATTGTCCGATCAAGAAGCTTGTTTCGACATTCAGAGTAAAGCTCATCTAAGTCAGATAGTTCCGGAGAGTCAATCGAACTGAGGCTCGCTTTATTTCGTGTTTGAATTTTTCGATTTAGAATAAGTTCTCGAAGATTTTCTGCATCCTCTACGAGAGCACTGGATTCATTGGCCAATGTCTGAAAGAGATAAATCATCATAACACATCCCATTCTCTCGATGTTGAGTTAAAATTATTATAAGTAAGCCTCTATTGAAGATCACATGGTAAAAATTCTAATACGTCAACAGTTTTCGCATACGAAGATCATTTGACATGCTTGAATGTAAGAAGTGAGAAAATTCAACCGGCATATAAGCCTGCAAGTGAGTTATGCATTTATACGACGCACTGTACTAAAATCGTTAGAAAGGAACAAGCATGCTACTAATATTTCTTCATTTATTAATAAAGGTTGTGAAAGTTAAGCTATTGAATAGAGCTTAACGCCTCGGACATGAAGAAGGAAACCAATCTATGGTGTTCGGGCTTTCCACAGATTCACGGCTTTGCTGAGATTTAAGGAAGCATACCGATACACTTGGACATTTTCTGGCTTTAATGTTAATTAGCCACCTCCAACCTTCCAAGCTGAAATGCGTTACTTCAAAATAACTTGTCACGTTTTTTGTAGATTATTTTTTGTTCAATAAATTCGAGTGTAGTGATTATATCTGCGATTTTATTAAGTTTTGCATTGCATCACTGGTATACGTAAATGATCAGAAAAGTTCACTCGTGATCCAATCCTTTACGTCAATTTATGAAATTTAATATTATGACGAATTGAAAAAAAAACAAGACAGATATATCCCAAGTTTTAAAATATCCACTTCATATTTCCATTAAAGTTAAACATAAGCACAAGCACCCACTAGCGGTCATAAAATTTTAATTAATTTTTGCCAAATTGATCAACAAATTTGATTTTATGGCAGAGTTGCTTGCTTTATCGTTTGTGTGTGACAGTAAAGTCTACTCAAGCCAATACACTGGGATACACCTCCTCTTTCCTAACAAATTACCACGAGACGGAGAACAAAATTCAATTAACTTCACTTCTTCTCTCCCCTCCCCNCCCCCCCCCCCCCCCCCCCCCCCCCCCCACCCCCTTACTGACCCATATCCAAATTGAAATAAAGGATGCTAAAATATCATAAAAGAGGGGAGAAGATTGTGGATTACAGATGAAATATAAAACTAATTAGTTTCAATGGTGGGTCGATAGACCTTTTTCATCTCATTTTAATCCGTATTTCAATTGAAATGAAAACAACAAATTTTTTTAAAAAGTTCGCCAATCTTCCGAAATAAATCCATACCTGAGATCGCTTTGGAGAATTTGGAGTTGAGAGCTTATCTGCTACTTGATTGAGCACGTTAGCCTTCAACGTGATCTCCTGAAGCTTCTCTTGGAAGTTATTAAATTCCTGAAGTTCTTCGGTATGGTTATCAATCCACCTGGTAAGCACGTTCCACCTATCAGAAAGATCCTCGCGATGCTTGGTATCAACGACTTCTGATAATTGTAACATTTTCAAGTTCCGTTCAGCAGATTTACGCATGCAGGAAAAGCACTTCATCAAATTGTATACAGATCTGGGTCCATTGAAGGCGTCTGAACATTTTGCTCGCCTCTGTTTCTTGCCTAATTTAAAGTAAGCTTATAAATGCATTGTTTCAACGCTACTAAATAAGTGCAAGTAGATCGTATTTACCAGTTGCCGTAGAAGGCGATGAGTTGTTTTCATTATTGCTATTGGCAAGAATCTCTAGCAAAAAGCTCCGTAGATTCAACATATCCAGTTCAGATTGATTGATTAAGTTTGATTCAATGCACCCAAATAATAGGGTACAATCAGGTGATTCTTCCATAATAGAATAGGTAGCATCGTGGTGACCTCCGCGTACTGCCTGGACGCCGAAATCGCGGGAGGCAGGAGGGGCGGATTTTTTCCCATCGACTTCCTCTGAATTATTTAATGAGCACAAATGACTGCGCTGGAATAATGAATTGACTGCATCAGGTCCGGATTCATAGCCAGATGTGTGGGTCTAAAGGAGAAAGTGAGAACATTTCAGTATAAGAAATAACTCATTATTATGAAAACGTAAGCAAATAGCCGTTATGAAATAAAAGTTTTATTATAGGAAAGCAATTCAAATGTTCAAATTTAAAAAAAAATAGGCATCAGATTCACTAAACTATACCATTTTCCTATTTAATACTTTAAATGCCTGATAAATAGCCATAGTTAAGTATTATTTTCAATTTCAATTTCTTTTTTTTGGTTAGTTAGCTTGACAAAAAATAGAACTCATATCAAACAGGACTTATTTATTCAAGGTTATTAAGCGTTTTTTAATGTATGACTCAACAGCACGATAACGCCCAATTGAGAAGAGATTGGTTTAGAAAGAGTAGGGCAACATGCCTTCTCTGTGCAAGTAACACTAATTAAGTAGTAGTATTTTACGTAAGGATATGAAACTGAGAAAGTTTTAGAATTACTTAGTAAATAAGTAAGCAAGTTTATTTGTAGTAATAATCAATCCTACTCCCATCAAAACTAGGCTATCGTAGTTATGGAGTTGGAATTTTTTGAACAAAATATAAATGGTTCGCGAAATGCGTGATTTTGAAAATGGTGAAAATTAAAAAGTGATATTCTGGGGGGGGGGGGTAAGACTACGTTTCAATCAGGTATAATGACAACGGAGTGTGCAAAGAAATGCAAAAATCCTCGTTACCACACTTTTACTTTCACGCACAGCTCCAAATTTCAACCTTCTTCCATATTCATGAATAAAATTGTGCTAATTTCAAATCCCATATTTTGAATCTTGCGCAGTACATGCACTTTAACTAATTTGGTATTTTGGCCAAACACTTCAAAAAACTTATTTTAACATGTTGGCGAATACGTAAAGAGAACTCATTCTGCAAGGGAAATTAAATAACCTCTGCTAACTAAAGTCAGTTATTTTTAGGCCTAAATGAGGCATCTTAAACTGTATTTAACGAATACACGTTGGTATTATCATCAAAAATGATCCATGAAGATTATGGAAGTGAAACCGATAAATAACGTTGAAATCAACTTCGAAGAACAGTAACTTTCATTGTAACGGCCTAATAACAAACCATGACATGGTATTGTCGAAATAGAGTAGAAAATATTTTTCATTTATCAAGTGATTTGTGATAATCAAAACAAATTTATCCTCTTCCACAGCCCCCCATTGTTCAATTGTGTCAGATAAAAGGAGAATCATAAAGGGGTGCTTTAATTTGAATGAAAAAACACCTTACCGTATTCGTATCATGAGCAATAACGCTTTGAGAGTTGCTCAAAAATGCAGAGGGAGTGAGAGTACCATTAACGGGCTCTTCCATTTCAGTCTGAATACATTTGTCCTGTTTATCAGAAGAATGAGGTGCAGAAATTGAATATTCTTCTGAAAATGGATCTCTATCACCTGATTCCAAAAGTGCCTCAGAGCTTTCGCTTCCTCCATCATTAACTTCAACCATCTCAACGCCTTCTAAACTGGAAAAAGGTGTACTAGAAAGTCCCTCAAAACTCCACTCATCAATCTGTCGAGTAGTTCCTTTGGTTTGATGAAGTTGCTGTTCAAAATCAAGGGCCTCCGTTTCATCGGGAAATAGATCTTCCCAAAAGATGGCTTCCGGAAACTTGGCTTTGGGTTCGCTAGGTTCTATTGCCTCAATACTGGAATAATACGGCACCTGAAAAGAACCGAATTAAGTACTCCATTGTGCCCATTTAGCTCCTTCATAATTGGCTATTAAGATATACCTGGTAGTTATCCCAAGCACTCATCAAATGTTCAGAAGCATCAAATGGACACGTCGTTGTATCATCCAGAGAATGACTCAAACTAATCGCTTTATCCGTATGTGGTCCGTTGAGATCATCAAGAGACCGGGCCTTATCCATTGCTGCTTTCAACAAATGATCATCCGAACAGCTCCTTCTCAGGACACTGGTGGAAATCTCAACATTAGAATTGCTGTGAAGTTGGGCAACAAACATTTCGGCCGCTTCAGCAGCAGCTAAGTAGGAGTTCAATCGACGATCACTGCTACCACTGCTCCCTATGGCAGTTTTATGATGAGCTAATTCCGGTGAAGGGGTTCTGATAATATCCGATCCGGTTGACATTTCAGATATCAGTTTTCGCGCCTCTGAATGCGATATTGATGCAGGACTGTGGACATTCCCGTCTGCTTCTGTAAATTGAGACGTGTATGTGAGTGTGAATTTTCACTTACAATAAACTGGTTTAGTAAAGTAAAAAATTAATAGAAACTATTGCGTATGCACTGTTAAGAAAATTCACCTGAATTTTAAATCGCAGTTAGTGCGAATATGTTTACTTAGGACAGTGGAGAAATGAATAAGCTTAATTTTTTAATTCTCACGTACCATCTTTCAATTTTGTATTAAGCATACCAATTCTTGTCCTAAGTGGTAGTTTTTGAGTACAATCGAATCGTTCTGTGTGCAGAGTACCCGATAATATTGGAGGAAAAGGATCATCCTCAAATCTAAAAAATGACAAATGGGTAGTTCAGTACTCGAAAATTCGAAGAACGATTATTACTGTCTAAAGAAAGTTACTGCATATTGGTAGAATCAGTCCAGGCTTCTGTAACATTGGAAACGATTTCGTGGCTGTTGTTACGGCCGTCAACTCGATCATTCACGAAGATTCCATCAGACATTACGGTATCAGGTAAATTCAGATTTGGTTCTGTTGCTCGTGAAAACATAGAAAGATTATAAGATCTAATGCTTGTGTGCAAGTTTTAAAACGTTAAAAGCCCGAGTACAGTAATACACCTATGAGTGTGGCAACATTGAATTCTGATTGGTTCTTGAGGTGAGACACCGACCCGGCACGAACCAATGAAATTAGACTCGTGTGAATAAGACGATGTTTGACCTTACGAACACACATGATTGTAGGATAGTTAAGAAAATTTTTTGCAAATTTGCATCAATTTCAAGATGAGACTACCTTAATACGTACAACCGTCTTAATCGCCAGCTTGAACTTAGTAAATTTGCGAAAACCAATTATTGGAATCATTAAGACCACTAAATATTGCTTTAACATTTGACAAGTTTAAAAAGTTCTCATTAAGCTGAAAGTCAGTTTTATTGACTATTTCAGACCTTTAGGCGAGAGAAAGAGCTGGTGAAATTAGCAACACATTTGGCTCCTGAAACAAGTAGAAAACGAAATTTAAGGGAAGTTGCCACCTATTTTTTAATTGTTAATTGATGGCTCGCAATTGTAGAAATAAAAGATTGGGGATTTGAATTATTTCTGAGTTGTAGTTGACTAGAATGATCAGAACCTACTCAAAATTGCTCCTGATAGTGATCAAGTTCATTAATTGAATTAACGTAAAAGTACAAGCTGCAATCTAACTTGACAATCCCCCCTACCCACCCAT